AAAAAACAGATTAGTCGAGCAATGAAAAAACAATAAATAAATTGCGGAGGTGGTATAGTGGCAACTGGCCCACTATCTCACACGCACAGTCAGGGGTTCGAATCCCAGATCGATATCCGCCCAGGCCAACCAAGCATTTCATCCCTCCGGTGTCGGTTAATTGGTACCAGACTCGTCTGGGAGCATAAAAGCACTGACTTGTACATCGAGGGTCCAGGCAAGTCGTTGTATAGGTAAATACACCACCAAGATTCTGAATGGAAGGCGAGTGCGGGGGTGTATCCCTCAAACGGGACTGATTCATGCCAGAAGACTTGATCCTTTCATACGCTCAATAACAAATAATAAAGAATGATTAAAAAAACTGAAAATTGAGTAAAACACCAAGGTACAGAATTCGAATCAGAAAATGAAAAACCGTAGACTCAAAATACAAGATAAATTATAGACAATAATAGGTAAATGCTGGTGAAGCTGAGATGGTGGTGAAAGAACAGGAGTAGAAGTGGCGCTAATAAGTTGTTGAAGTTGAAGACGGATACAATTTCTTGTTGTTAGTTCTACCTATCTATTGCTCAAGTTCGATATAGTCAACAAAAGGTATTTGTGTATTCATTCATTATTAATAGCTCTATTTTCAGCTGTACGACAATTCACAACTACACATCTCAGCATATTCATTCAACGAATAACAGTATTAGAAGTAAACAACTATTTTTTCTCTACTGACATCAGAGGTAAGGTAAGAGGGTGTCTCTCAAGAGACCTTAACCATGACAATAAATGATGAATGGTGATAGCTCTTGGGGTCACTGAAAATCTCAGTTTTACGAACAGCCCCTGCTGTTGCACACTGTGAGGAAACTTTTTTGCATAAAATTGGTAAGCTCTCCTATGAGGGACGTTGTATGTAGAGATGGAAGTTTAGTAGTGGCATCACACTATCACAGTAGTGGTGCACTATCACAAATGCATGGTCCCGGAATCAGCTCACGAATCGGTATCCGCCCAGCCTAACCAAGCCTTCCACCTCGCCGCTGTCTGGTAATCGGCAGACTCGTCTAGGAGGATAAAAGCGCTGGCTTCCACATCAGCCGACCACCACGATTCCTTATAGAGGCCATTTTTGCATCCAAACGCCACTAGGATTTTGAATGGAATACGAATGCAGAGGCGTATTCCAGAGATGTAACTAATCAATGCCGAGTAGCCTTACCTTTTAGACTTCATACGCTCGTAATGCTTTTATTTTTAATTCAGAATGTAAAGGATTTTTCCACGCAAAACTATTTATTGCCGAAATTACATCTCCCAATCATAGGGGAACTCTTGAGCACGAGTACTTCTAAGAGACGATTCGAGCAGCTTATAGATAGCAGGATAGTCTGGTGCATCGAAGAACTTGCCCTAAATCGACAAATCGTCATTTAGTGGTAGGACCAAATTTTGACAGTGAAAACCGAAGAATCGATCAAAGACCTTATCCAGAATTGGAAATATTTCTAAGTATTCACGAGGACATCCTCCGAACAAGCATCGGTATTTTTCACCTTTACAATCCTTCTTGAATAGGCCGACGTCATTTGATTCCTGAACAAAATAACTTCGATTTGGACCCAGCAGTAAGTTGAGAAACCGAACTGTCCACAGGAGGTATATCACCTGTGCACAAGGCAACAAATTTCCGGGGGAAGACACTCAAAGGCACAGTTCGCAATGAAACTGATTTCATATTTAACTCATAGGAATCTAGTCGGTCCCCCTAAGAAGGCTACATGGAGCACTGTCACGCCGTGAGGGGTCCTAGATAGGGTGTAACTGGGCTGAAAAAACAGTCCTGACACCCTTTGCCGCTCGATACTTGGCCTTGAACTGGTTAATGTCATTCGAAGTGGAGCATGTTTATTGTACAAGCAGTTAGCTCATATGTTCTAATTACTACACACGTAGCTCCACAGGAGTGAAGTCTCGTCCAGGCACCCTCTCCATCGTCGAAGGCTCGCCCAACCTTGAAAGTTTTTGTTTAGAATAGTTCCAGTATTTCTGGTTTCTACGGATTTCTCCTGGTTCCAGGTTTCCATCAACTAATTGGCATTAACTCTTTCGCTCTTCGACTCCCAATAAAATTACATGAAATTTCGGCAAACTGAGCCTCTGAGGGAAGCTTTGGGTAGCCTGAAATTGAAGCGGCACTATCAGGCCTACCGTCAAATTCCGCCAAGGCAGTCGACCGCAGGTTATCTCAACAAGCATGTACAGCCAGCTTTCAATATCATCTTTTCTGCACTGCTCTCGATGTACATGGCAAGCAAGCGGTGCATACTTCACAGTTCCACGGAATCCAGCGCGGGCTCTGAATACGGAAATCGATTTCGTTGGACGAAGTATGAACACCAGAACTCAACCTCGGATTTCGCAGGGTGCCATCTTCTTTGATGAATTTTCGAGCCATTCCAAAATCGAGCATGTAGATCTGAAAAACTATACGTTATCACTAGAAGCCAGTGGAGCTACGCGGGGCTATCAGGTCAGCAGCCAGGTCAGTGGAGTAGGCGACCTATATTCGTGTGATCCACGTTTTCCATACGAATTGATCAGATGATTTGATGTATTAACCCTGAAGTAATTGCTGTCCCACCTTCCTAAGCTCGTTGAGTTCCTTACGACCAACGGTGTAATTGCCTGGTTTGATGTCTCGGTGCAGGATCCCGACATTATGCAGATCTTCGAGTGCTTCCAGACACTGCTTCCCTACAGAGATCGCCGTACCCATTGAGAATTTTTTCATCGGGGCATCATGGCGAAGATCCTGAAGGTAATTATTCAAGTCAAATCAATTACAAATTGTAAAAAACTCAGTAACAACTACGAACAACAGCTAGAGGGTGTACCACTGGAGCAGCTTACCTGTAAGCTTTTCCCAACCAACGTCATGACCACATAGTTAAACTTTCCAGGTACATGTCCACGGTCTTTCAAACCGAGAAAGTGACGAGCTGCAACAAAGAAGCATTTATGGACACGCGAAAATCGTACAGCAATATGAACACTCTTTTTTGGGACGAGCCATGTGGTTAACTTCTTTCCGGAATCTGATCGTCGTTAACTCCGTTACAACCTGTGAGCTACAAAAGCCCACCCATTAGCTTCTGAAGACCCTACCGAATGCGAATGAATTGTGTCTGATATCACCTACCTGATTAGGTCTTATGCAGCAGTAGAAAGTTTTTATCACAATCACCGCAACATTACTGGATCACTGATAAGTTCCTCGCTTTTCTGGTCGGTTGGTTCCTTATGCTACGTTCGTTGCCCAGTTACATGTGAATAGGCGTATGGGCGGACAAAACCGACCAATGAACGAACCTAATACTTCGTTGATCGGACGGTAGTCTCTAGCTTCGAAGAACCGACGAACTGTTGAAAATACTATATAATATTATAATATTAGGTTGACTAGGAAGAACGGAGGTGTTTGGGAACAGTCACATACAGCTATCTCGAGAGAAGAGATTAGAGGGACGAATCAATCGGTGGTTACGAAACTACGTTCACCAACTAAACTTCCAAAAGTCTTCACCGCATTCTCTATGGTTAGCGAACAAGAAGATAAGCGAAACAGGGGCTATGAATGAAGAATGAGACGAATACTGAATGATGAATAGGAAAAAATGAGGGGGAGGAAAAATGGAGGAAAATGACTGGACAGGGATGATAAGGAAAACATGCCCCACTGGGAACAATCTTGCTTAAACATGACTGATGGTGATTTTACAAGTGAATTCCAGTTGAGGTAGCTCATCATCGGAACACCCAAAAGGCGTGCCTCTGACCGTCGCAGAGGGAGCGCGACGAACGCGGTTTCGCCCGCGGCGGCTTGAAGCGCTTGCGCGGCATGTGATTCATCGCGAGCGACGACGAGCGGCGGCTATGGTAGGCGAATGACTCATCGCTCGAATTAGTCACGTTGCGGTCCTGAGATGACAGGACATGTTTTTCGGTTGTTCGTATAACCATCAACATTGTTTTTGCTTGCCCACTTCAATTATCGATTGTTTCAGCGGAGACAACAAATCTGGTCCTTCCTTTACACGTCATATCACAACACAGGGCGAAGGGAATCGATTGTATGCGCGCGAAATCGATAGTCATTTTCACTGATGCGACGTGGTAGCGCGGTCGAAGTATAGGAGCGGCTTACTACATCTCGAACATTAGATTTTGCATTTTTCACTATTGGTAATCTGTGCGTATGGATATCCTCTGCAAAGATCGCAGTATTTCGATCACAGTATATGTAAACGTTTCTGAAAGTTTTCTTTCTTGTTGCTTACCTTGAAACTTCGTTTTCTTCAACTCCATCAAGACATACACTTCCATTTTGAGCAAACCTAGTGGGTCATTCTCTGCTTCGACCTGAATACTCCAGGAATTTAGTTTTTTTGCATGAAATTTTTCCCTATCGGCAAGTTACCTTTAACGCATTTTGCTCGTGTTCCTTATTTTCACAGAGATATACTGCTCCGAATCCTCCTTCACCAAGTTTCTTTATGATCGTCCATTCTCCTACCTTTTGTCCATCTGAATAATGGTATTGTCAGGGGTAGTTAACTGGTGCTGGTACTGGCACGTGAAAGCTACCTTTCAGTTGTACCAGTTCAGACATTGCAATCGAATAACACTCAAGTAAGAACGCTGGATACGCTCCGAAACGAGAAGGGTAGTACAAAAATGAACCACACCACGGTCTCCCCATTATATAGATTTCTGATAGTGATACATTGGCTCATATCTTTCTAATCTTTCCAATCGATACTCGCCCAGGCTAACCAAGCCTCACATCCTTCCGTGGTCGGCTGATTGGTAATAAACTCGTCTGGGAGGGTGAAAGTGCTGCCTCGTACCACTGCAGCTGGCCGCTGCAAGTCATTGCGTAGGCCACATAACGGATCCAAACCCCACTACGGCTGTGAATTAAAGTCGACTGGGCGGCCCACTCCAAAAACGGTATTGATTGAAGCATGAGACTACGACTACAGCTTCAACTTTCAAAGTGGGCCCAGGTAGTGCAGTGCCGAGTGGGGCACTACCGTAGACGCGGTCATTGGATCAAATTCCACGAACTCGGGATGACATTCATGACCACGTACTACTTCACTTTCGCTTGAGTATCTTCTGATCTCCGATCTCTTGCTCTAGTCGGCACAACACTTCCCTCTGAGATGCGTATCCAGATAAGGTTTGTGGATAGAAGTGCGAACATGATACCGACTGAACCATTTCTGTCATTCATACCCTTGCTTTTTATTTTAACTAACTAAAAGATGAATTTTCTTTCAAAAGTTCCACACTTGATGCTTATGCTTTTTACACTCCTCAATTGCATAACTTCAATTATCTCTTCCGCTCGGAAGCGTGGCTCATCCCGAATGGCACTTTTTTGTAGTGGCATATTCGGAATCAAACCAAATAATAAACAATAACAAACAATAAACTAAACAAGTTTCTCGTCTTTCGAAGAGTTTTCGATGGGCGCCAGACTCGTTTTGAAGGACAATTTCAAGAGATTTTCACATCACTTGGCCCGTACCCGTCATGGTGCTGTACCGACTGAGCGCGCATTCGAGTGCATCTACGATTCTGATGGATAGTCGAATGCGTGGAGGCATCCCTTGATTGGAGTGATCATTTCAGAATCAGACCAATCAGTTCAGAAGAACTTCAAAAGCTTTTCAGAGACGCTATCCCTCATTTCTTTTTCCAGATAATTTTGAACTTGCTCTTTCTTCACGTTTGTTTTTTCAGTTATTTTCTTTTGTTTCCTTCGATAACACTATCTGTGCTGTCACATACGTTTGTATACAAGTATTCTATGAAGTGAATCTTGTATACAAGCGTTACCAAACATGTATTTCTATAAGATTTTAAAATATTTTTGATTGTTTGATTGATTTCAGAGTCGTTGTTCCGCTTGGTGTCTGGTTAACAGCATCTGTCCACGATGAAGCATAGGACAGGGACACTTATCTGTCTTGTAGTAATTATATTTACCGTAATTGGAATCTCAATTTATCGGTAAGCCTGAAAATGGTTTCTAAGAAAGTTGCTACAGTAAATACTTTGTCCACTGTCTTCTTTTCAGATCCAATCGTCTGCCATCACCAGGGTGAGTTGAGAATCTGAGAGGCTAGTGGAAGGCTGAAGAAACTTGTAACATTCAAATTTCATTGTTGAGGCTTTTTAAGAGTTGTTTTGGTAGAAGAAGTTCAGCAACTCAAATTCCTAGTTTTGAAGAAAATTTGAGTTGGCACATTTCAAAAAGGTAATACCGGTGGGTATAATTGAGGCAGTAGATCTGCCTCTGTTCCGACCTCGCTCTAGACGGGAACTGAGTGGAGGAATGAAATTCTTCTGTGCTCATCAGTAGGGTAAGGGCGAGATATGAGGCATGCATTTGAGGATAATTCAAAATTTTCGTTTTTTTGTGAGCTGCACACTAAGGGAGCGACCTCAGTCAATGTTCTTTCGAATGCTCGTTAGGCGTCTCACCCTTTTGGATCCTTCAGCTAGGTGCGACGGATGAGCACCTGCCGAAGTTCCTTTCAACCGTAGTAGAAAGATTTTTGGTTAGTTCCGAATCTGAATCCAAATGTAGACTGATTTTAGGTAATTCATTCTCAAAGTTTTCAGTATCATGATCACAGCGAAAGGCTACGTTACCATGGACGAGCTGGATCTGGAAGTTTTTGCGCCCCACAATTTCAAACTTATGGGTGAAACGGATACTATCCCCTTGTTGGACTTCATCCAGAAACCCACATGTGAAGAGGTGAGTGAACGAAGAATAGTGCGTAGTTGAAGACACCACAGCGATGAGAGCATGGGCGGAGACACGTGGAGCAACCTGCCCCTCTGATTGGTGTACAACTGCTTCTGTAGGGCAACTGCCAATCATCACATCGAGTAACTCCGCCCGTACTCTCATCATCGATAATGCTTTAATCCCTTGAGATCTCTAGGTGATGGTGAGCTACATGTGTTTAGGTGTTTGATGAATGGCTGGAGATCGCTCTTGCCAATGATCAGTACCGGGTGCCACCGAAAATCATTCCGCCCTCACTGACAAAGAAGTACCTCATGAACGGGCATGCTTATTTGATAGAGGTAGGAGATTAACGGATAATTTTTTCGAAAAAATTCAGATTTTTATTGATCAATAACAAATTTCTATCAGAATTTTCACATAGTATGCACAAGCTTTATGTTAGTAATCCTTAAGGAACAGTCTATGTTATTATAGTAGAAAACAAAACGAGTCAAAGAAATGATAATTGAGCTTTGCCTGCCGGCTAGTAAGGCATCATTTTACGGGGCCGTTCTCGGACTGATGTCTCGCTGTGCCCATTGACTCGTTGGTCATCCTAGCTAGTTGTCTCACCACGTGCCTCCTTCAAAAACTGAGTCTTCTCCCCTTCACCTCTCCTATCTTTTTATAGCGTTCACTTACCATGTCAAATTCTTTCAAGCGATTCTTGTCATTGGGTAGTCACTCTTCAAGCGGCGGTGAGGAACGGGCTGTAGAAAAGGAATGAAGGACGTTCCAAAACAAGCCAACCAGAGAGTGGTGCTGTGCTAGCGTGCTTTATGTCGCATTTGGCGAGTAATCTACTAGAGGAAGCCATCCTCATCTCGTTTTCATGAAAACTGCAATAGTACGATCAGAATATTGTTGTTGCCTTTGATCCATGGCAAGATGNAGCAATGTGCTCTTCCTAGTCTGTAGTTCAGCAGAACATCCCCTGAAAATGAACAGAAGGTCAAGCCTTTGTGTACTACTAGGTACCTGTTAGAATACTACACCATTTATAGATTTGTAACTGTTCAGGAGTACCGCAGTGATCGTCCAGAGGGACAGGAGCACGTTTGGTCACAAATTCCAAAATGGTTGGAGATGCCAGAAGATGAATTGTACAAAATATCTCTTTATGGAAAGCCAGGCAGTGGGTCGATCATATTCCAATGACAATTGTTTTTATTTTGAGTGATGCACCTAGAATGATGCCAATATATGTACATTGGAAGCCTTTCTTGTAGAACAGTGTACTGTACTGATAGGACACGTAGGTAAGGCTCTCATCTGTTTCGCTCCGTTGAAAGCCGGTGGAGGTATGCAGCAGTTAACTCAATCACAGAAGTGCGGAGTGTTTTCATTGCCTAACTGAGATTCGAGCTCAGGACTATCTGCCTAGGTAGCTGCCTTCCACTACCAATACCCCATTTCCAGTTAATGCCTTCATGCGGGAGCTTGTGGCTTGGTATGTAGGATAATTCTTTGGGAGAAATTCGGATAAGTCATATTGGAGGCGCTACTTTCCAGCGGTATCCGCGACCTTGGTAGTGAGAAAAAACGCATTGCCTATAGAATGTACATAGAGGCCAACGAGTACGGGTAATTTGGGTTTACTTTAGGGTTGAGGTTTCGACCCCCAACTTGACTATGTAGAAGAATATCTCTTTGTTTATTATTCAGTGGCTGTTTACCACGCCTTCATGCTCCATCCATTGGACGGTAAAGTCGGCTTCGTTATTGGATCTCAAACGCCATGGGTTGAGGTGTTCGCGTTGTTAAATGGAGCGAAAAAGGTACTTTTTGTATTCCATTGATCACTGTGGTACTTTACCTAACTTTAAAACCAATTGAGTAATCAATATTTACATTTTAATTGCATTTTCTACCGCACTTTACCTGCCTAGATAGAGCCAGCGAATTAGAGGCACTGAGAGTCTTTCGAGCCTTACATACCTCACTGATCTTTCAGTATTTCCTCCTACTCTCCAATATCTTGACCCAAAGCTGTGGTAACGTTTTGCCTAATATTTCACTTGCCTTGAGAAGTTGTTATAATTGGTGATGACACAGAATAACAAGAAATAATCGGT